GAACATTGCCACACGGTATTAAAGTATGGCCGCAGGATGAAAAAAAAAAATGAGCTTGTGACATCTGACTAATAGGGATATGAAGCACTGTGAGAATTATTCATAGTGGGTCATAAAATGGAAAGGCCGGGATGCCAGCAATACTTGGGTGTTGTTTGCATACTGCTTCTCTAAATGACAAATTTTAGTCATCAAAACTTCCCATCCACCAGGGCTGCTTAGGCGAGTATGCAAATGATATTTTCACACATACAGATGGCTGTGTACAGATCACATGGATGCCAGCAGCTGTGATGGAGCCGGGCTGTGGCACAGACCCCTCAAGACATTCCACACGGTTTCTGGAGAGTCCTCTATTACTTATTTATTCAGGGCATAAGAGTTATCTTTGTAAGTGTTTTTCCAGAACCAATAGACAAATACTTTTTCATGTCCTGAGCATCTCTAAGGTGATGGCAAGAGGAGCCCAGAATCATGCTGGCTAGAGACAGTAGGCAGAAAGAACCCAAAATGGGCTGAGAATGAGCTGTCACGTAAACAAGAGAAATTGCTTAGCTCTGCTTGAACTGAGATTCTCACCCTGGGGTTCCTGAACCCGTAGGCAGGAGTTCTCAAACTCAGGTTGCTGCAGAATCCCCTGGGGGAGCTTGTTTAGCACATGTTACTGTGCACCACGGCCAGCCATCCTGATTCAATCTGAAACAGACCTGCGAACCCGTGCAGCCCAGGTGTTTCTGGAGCCTGTGGTCTGGGGACTACACTCAGAGGAACCCTCTCCTAAGGGTGGGCGGTTGTTTGTGGTGGGGGTTCATGAAAAAGGACTGTGGAAAGAACCAGGGGCCTGAACCCCTGAAATGGCCTGAACAACGGCTCCAGATGTGCCTGTGTGCTTTTCAGAGCTGAGGGTCCATGGCTTTCCTCACATACTCAGAGGGATCCACGTCTCGGAAGTTATAAACCACGGTAGCGTGTGGTCCCTATGAAACTAATGATCGGATCTCTGTTTCCACAGGGGATGTTTAACTCCTCTCCACTTCCAGCCTCCCATAACTCCGCAAAATCCATCCAGCATCTCACAGAAGTACGAACATACTCGGCCCTGAGAAGGTTCTGGTCAGAGAGAACAGCTGGGTCCCTGTGACTCTATCATCACTATTGGGAAAGTGACTCAAAAACGACATCCCACTGAGGTGGATAGGCAGCTTGTCTCTGCAAACAAAGATAATGCAGTTCCGTGTGCCAGACACCTTGCTCCCAAAGACAGCCAGAGAGGCAGGGCCTCCCCTGGGAGCTGGTTCTGCTCAGTCGTGCCTGGGAAATGACTCTCAGTGGCAGCCTGAATCTCTGTCAAAGGTCTGCTTAGAAAAAGGTCTCTTTAGTCCTTTGGCTTCAGTTCCAGAGCCCCCTCCACAGCTCCTTGAGCTTCTAGAACCTTCCTTTCCTGCCCTGGGGCTGAGAAAAACTGTGAAGAATGGCCCACAGTTATGCAGGGTGTCCCCATTACCATACTAATCTTAACTCTTAGCTTTGCCATTTTGCCCTTTTTTTCATTACCCACCTGGCTTCTCAAGCATATATTCCTGTTAATTTACTTGAGTTGTTCTTTCAAACTCTTTGTTTAAACAAGATAACAAAAGAATCGTAGGGTTTAGTTTATTATTATTATTTTACCTTTGCACAAATGGAAGATGAGAGAAGTGTTCATAACCCTCTTCTGCCTTAGAAGACTCAGAAATATGTATGCCTTTCAGAAAACAGATCTCAAAACAGAACATTACCAGAGCCACACGTTTATAAGCAAGACCAGTGAGGATCACCACTTTCATGGAAGCTACAGTTATGTCCGCAAGCCATAGCAATAATCTCTGAAATTCAGAGGTTTTATGACACCTGCATTAGAAAGAATATTGACCAGCATAGCCAATGATGGAGAAGAACATTTCTTTGTGTTTTCCATTTGTTTTGTTTGTTTCTGTTAGGGAAAGAGGGGTACATTGTCTTCTTAACTAGCTGAGATTTCTCTCCCCAGCAGTTAGAAGGGTCTATTCTTTCTTTCTTTTTTTTTTTTTTTGAGGAAGATTAGCACTGAGCTAACATCTGCTGCCAATCCTCCTCTTTTTGCTGAGGAAGACTGGCTCTGAGCTAACATCCATGCCCATCTTCCTCTACTTTATATGTGGGATGCCCACCACAGCATGGCTTGCCAAGCGGTGCCATGTCCACATCCGGGATCTGAACCAGCAAACCCCAGGCCGTTGAAGCGGAACATGCAAACTTAACCACTGTGCCACCTGGCTGGCCGCTCTGTAGTACATTTTGACACTGGCAAAGTTTCATTCTTTTTTTCAAAAATTTCATGAATATTCTTGAATATTTTCTGTCCCAAATTAATATCAGAATCAGTTTTAAAATTCCTTGAAAAGTCATTTTGCAATTTTAATAAGCATTGTGCTGACTTTATAGATTAATTTGCCTGCAGTTGAACCTTTAGCAACCCTGAATCTGCTTGTCAAGGATCATGATTTGCCTTTTCATTTACTCACATATTCCTGTATGTCCCTCAGTAAAGTGGTGTAGTTTTCTTTTTTAATACATTGCACGTTTGTTCTTTGGTTTAGTACTCAGTATTTCATAGTGTTAAAGCTATTTACATTTTCTAATACATTTAAAAATAGTTTTCTTTAAATCTGTCCATTTTGGTAAACTCTTATTCATGCTAATAATTTGATTCCTTTGGGTAGATAATCATATCATTTGAAATAATGAGAGTTTACAAATTTTACTTTTCATTTCATTATTTTATTTTGATTTTTTAAATTGAATTGGCTAAAAAAAACTCTGTGTTTTTATTAGTCTGCTCCAGCTGCCATAACAAAAGACCACAGACCAGGTAGCTTAAACATCAACAAAATTATTTTCTCACGGTTTGGAGTCTGGAAGTCCAAGATGAAGGTGAAAGTGAGACTGGTTTCTGGTGAGAATTCTCTCTTGAGATTTCGGGCAGTGCCTTCTCCCTTGTCCTCATGTGGCCTTTTCTCTGTGCGTGTGCAGAGAGAGAGGGCTTGCTGGTGTCTCTTCCTCCTCTTATAAGAACACCTGTCCTATTGGGTTAGGGCCCCAACTTTATGCCTCATTTAACCCTGATTACCTCCTGAAAGGCCCTGACTCTAGATACTGTCAGGTTGGGGCTCAGAGCTTTGACAAATGAATTCGGGGAGCACACAATTCAGTCCACAATAAAGTTGTTAAATGCAGACTTTTTCTTTTTTTTCCTTTTTCCTATTTCTAAATTAGCATTAAAAATAATATTTTTATTTTTTATCCTGAATATCTGAGAAATAATGTGCAAAGGAAAAAAGATGCAAAGGAAACGTGAAATAAATTTGATACCAATCAGAGTTATCATAGATTTGTTTGTGGTAGACACAGACCAGATGTTCAAAAAGTACTTGCTGATTGTCACTTAACAGAACTGCCACAAACCTTTGCTATTATGTGTGTGTTGTGTCTAAAATGTCCATTAGTAGTTGTGTTTAATACCATATAGATAAATGGTTTGTGTTCAAAAAGCATTCGTTCATTTTTTCCTCTCATTCAGTAAAGACTTGCTGTTAGGTAGTGGGTGTATTTTAAAACAAAGACATAATCTCTGCTGATGTTTAAAGACCTTGGGTTATTCTCACGAACCAAAGTGATAAATACTGTAACAAATAGAAGTCTCTATTTCTTGCTGGCTCAAGGAAGTAAGCAAAATATTATGGCTAAAACTAGTTCATAATTCCCACTCTGTTATGAATTAGAAATTTTTTAGCAAAATGCCACCTTTTAAGTCATGAATAAACAGTCCATTTTGAGCAACTCCTACCCAAAATTATTCTTAAAAAGTTCACTCATTTAAAAAATTATATAAGACAACTTAGGTAAAGTGTTAACATGTCTGAGGCACCTTGTAAGCATCCAACAGCTGTTAGTTACCTGCTAGTCCTTAAAAGAGCAAGATCAAAAATAAACATAATGAAAAGAATGGAAGGATATGTTTCACTTACGAAAAATATATTTCCACTTTTGCAAGAAATAGCTGACTTCATTCTTTCTCCTTCTTTCTATCCCATATTCAAGCTCAAGGAGGCTCTTTTAAGAAAAAAATGACTTATCAGCTAAAATTTCACACTCTTAAAGACATGACTGGGCTCAGATACCCTTGGGTCCAAATTCCTGCTCTGCATCCTTGATGGCTTGGTGACCTTGGACAAGTTCCTTAATCTCTCCCAGCCTCAATTCTCCCATTCATAAAATTAAGATAATAATACATTTCTTTTGGGTTTTCCATGAGAATTACATGAAATAACCTACGTGAAATGCCTAAAACAGATAAGAGCTGAGTAGATGGAGTCATTTTATTATTGCCATTATTATTATTATTAAACATTATGTTTTCTTGAATACTGATTTAATTGAAATATTTAACTTGTTGATATAAATAAATCTGGAGAAAGCTTTAAGAGTCTAATTTCCAACCATGATTTAAAAAAAAAAAAACAAAAACCTTAATTGAACTTTTAAGTTTCATTTGATCTTATATCCAGGACTCCAAATTTTGTTCTCAGATGCACGAACGACTGCAGAACATCCTTTGTTAAAATGGAAAATAACCTCTTTGGAAATAAGACTTCATCATGCAAGAGTTTATAGACATATGTCCAGTTCTTTGATTTAAAAAAGGAAAAAAGCTTTTCTTGAGTTCAAAATGTTTCTCACACCACTAGGGAATAACAATTATGACTCTCTGCTTTTTATTTTTATTGCTAGGTTGAAAAAGATGATTGTCTACAATGCCTACACTAGGAGAATATTATTCTACAAATAAAGGCCCAGCATGACATTTATGAGAAAAGCAGGGTCCTCCTGTGCAAAGCTGATTGGTACTCCGCCAATGGGCTCCGGGGCGTTGCACATAAAGGTCCCTTCTGGACTGGGCCGATCAGACGCAGGGAGGAGAGTTGCCTCCGCCTGCGGAACTTGGAAAAATGCTGTATTCCTGTCCTGGCAGCACTCATCTGTGGCCAGTAAAGAGAAAGCGGACTTTGAAGATGAAACATCTTCTTCCCCTCTTCTCTTCCACCCTGGCCATCTATTGCTTCTGCATGTTACAGATCCCCTCTTCAGGTAAGGGGACCTCTTCATCAGACCCCAGCTGGTCTGAGCTCTAAGAAGGACTGAGACAGCCCTCGATCCTTCAGGGTGGTTCAGGGGCAGGCAAATGTTATTCCCTCACTTACCCCATTTCCACCCTCTCATCTGTCTCCAACCTTTAAGAGATAGTGGACAGAGCCGGGTGCCGCAGCCTTTTATCAGAGGAGGGGACATCCCCCATGCAACTGTCTTTAAACAGCTCCTGCCCTAGGACTGTCCAGAGGATGCCACGCTGAAACTGTGAGGAATATGAGTTCGGGAATGACTCCAAATTAAACATTTGTTCTTCTGGAGTTCTGAAGAGATGAGAACAAGGACTATAAAATTTAGTTTACAGACCCAAAGACTGAGGAGTGAGGGACAGTTGGAGTGGGGCGGCTCCTGAGGGTTTTTTCTCTGGGGCTCCTGGGAGGCGGGATCTCAGACAGCGCAGCAGAGGCACCGAGTCTTCCAGGGCTGCGGCGCTGTCCGAGGTGCTGACCGGACGCGGACGTCACTTGGCCAATGTCCGAGAACCAGGCGTTTACAGGGAATCAGGGGTGAGTCATGGGGTTAGCAGCCAGAATCTGCTTCCCTTCACCAGCTAACGTGCCTTATGATGCAGGGAAGGATGTGGTGCCAGAATAGCTACGGTTGGAAACACGGATTATTTTAAAATTTTAGATTTTTCCATTAGAATTTTGATTTAGGGGAGTAGAAACTATATTCAAACAGAAAATATATTTCAAGCAGGATACTTCTTTTGCCACCCTGCAGTGTGATCACAAAACCTAGGTATTGCAAAGAACTGTGGAGACCATCTAGTCATCTACTCGAACCTCTCACGGAGAGCAGGGATCCCCTCCGTGATTTCCCTATTTGATTACTTTCAGTGACATGCAACTCACTACCAGACTAAGACAGCCTGTAGATGCCTCCTCTGGGCCTCAATAGAATCTTGTTTATATTACACTTTTGGAAACTTGTTATTACCTTTTACTTATCTGTCTATATATTTGTATCCATCTCTCTCTTTTTCCTGTTTGATTTTATGTTCTCTGAGGGTAGGCCCCTGATGGTCTTTCTGAAGGTACTGTTAACATAGAACCTCTTAAAAGGATTGGTTTAAATTACTTTGCATTTTTTGAATGGCTCAAATCATCAAAAACTTGTTTACACTAAGCTGAAACCTGATCACATGCAACTTCTATCCGATAGCCCTAGCTGTGCCCTTTGGGGATATAAGATTAATATCTCTTACAAAAGTTCTCAAAATATTTGAAGGCAGTTAACATACACTTCGTAATATTTCTCTTTGCCAATGAAAACTGTGCTTGGTTCCTCTAACTTTACCACATATCTTATCATTTTAAATGGCGTTATTACCTTTCAATGTTTGGACCCTGTTATTTGAATACAAGACAAGATTACGTTAGCTTTTTCTTGGCTCATAGAAGATTGCAGGGAGCAAAATATCACTCACTATATATATGTATATATATGCCAGATATTCCATGTCCCACATTTTAAAAATCTTTCGTTTTATATTCATCCCATTTAGTTTCGTCTTGTTAGTTCTGCCCTATCCGACTGATTCTTTCAACTGCAGTCTTAGCTACTCCTCCAAGTGTTCTCTCATATGCAAATGAGGTAAAGACTTCATTTAGGTCAGACACAAGTTGACTGGTGCAGCATCCAGCTGCATGCTGGTAGCAACCTTCCCCACAGCCCTCCCCCTGAAGAGTCTGATGAAGCAGAGAGACAAGAATCCATATTTTGTAAAAGTTCTGAGGGTGATTCTGATGCACGTACTTTGTTGAACACCATTTCCTGATGTTCCATCCCTTCAAAATACAAATCAAGTTTTTACCTAGGTATTTTTTCCCTCTTTCCTGAGTTGATAACTCTTGTATTGTTATCTCCTGGTAAATAAAAAAACATGCCATTCTAAATTAATGTTAGTACAAATCTCAGGTTTGCTAGCGGTAGGTAGAAGTTTGTTTTCCTTGTAAACTCTTTTAACAACATTGTATGAATAGAGTCTCTGTATGTTTTTCATGGTAAAGATTTAAAAGGCAATGCTATGACCTCTTTTCTCCTAATTGATATTTTTATGATTTCTCACAATAGGATTTCCCCGACCCTTAGCTGATCCTCCGGATGGCTTGGATATTGTGTGGCTTAAGGTATGCTGTTGTTCGGTAATGTGAGACTTTTATTTAGTCTTGGTCTTGAAAATATCATGTGGATAATGTTAAAACTATTTTAAGATAAGATTCTTGGCTGCAGCAGGAACTCACTGTTGCCACTTTCATGGCCTCATTTAAGGCATCCTGGGAGTTGTGTTGAAATTCACTGCCATTGTGTGAGAAGATAATGCAAGGTTCATAAACGGGACAATTTTAGAATTCTATTTGTGTTGTAATAGAATTCTGTTGACTAAGAATTTATACTTATCTTTGATTCATTTCCTTCATTTTTTTAGCGGCTGCCATATTGGACAACTCTTTCTGGGCAATCTAAGGTAAAAAAAAAAACATTCCTATGATAATTCTTCTGGTTATAACAATGCACACGTTTACGCCATAGTTGATGTTTGTAATAAGCATGCTCTTTTGCTACCTACAGGCGTGTGTATGTATAAGTGTGTGTGTAAGAGTATAGTTTTAAGAAATAAGTGAAACTCTTAAATATAAATTACCATAAAATATTGTAGTTCATATGTATTCCTAAAATTATCATAATTATATATACATATATAATTACATCAACTGTATATGTTATGACGTATCATAACATACATTACAAACTCATATACCATGATATAACAATTCTCCAACACAATAGATCTCACGTAAAGGACCTAATCGTAATTATAGCAACCACAACAGAAATATTTCAATGGATGCAGAGTAGATGTTGATTCAATCAAAAGTGCAAGGGGATGGTATCAGAGTAGAGTCCATGATTCTTATCATAGACTGTATGTTTTCACCTTGAGTCACATCTCTTCCTCCCTCCCCTGCCTCACCCCGCAGCACAGCATGCTCCAGCCACATTGAACTTCTACTATTCCCCAAACGCAGCAGGCACTATACCCACAGGCTTTTCCTTAGTCAAAAATGCCTTTACCTCCTTCACAGGCTGTGGTTAACAGCACAGACTCTAAAACTAATTGGTTCGAAACTCAGATCTACCTAACCTTGGAAAGTTTCTTAATGTCTCTATGTCTCAGTTTCCCCATCTCTAATAGGGAATAGTGGTGGTACTAGCCTCATAATGTTATTGTGAGGATTGGTTCCTTTAATATTTGTGAAGTGTTTTCAACAGTGTCTAGAACATGGTAAATAAGAGCACTTAAGTGCAAGCTGTTTCCATTGTCTCTTGATGCAACTAATTTTCACCTTTCAAGACTCAAACATCACTTTCTCTCTTAAACTTCATAAACATATCAGCCTATTTCTTCTTATTTTCAGTTTACAATTATGCATGTGTTTGAAAGCAATTGTCATCTCTCATCTTTACAACTAATCTTTATAGCCTTGGTACCTGGAGCAAAAATTCAGGACAAGAACTCAGAGTTCTCCATCTCCTTACCACTGCCTCCTCACCCCACTCTGGAGGGGCTTCCCCATCCCTCACATGAATTTCCCTCCACCTTCTCCATTTTCCCAAACTGATCCTGTTCATTGTTTCCAGTTGCAGAAGGCTAAGGAGTTGCTCAGTGAACAAAATTACCAATATTGTAAAGCTATTAATAGAGAGACTGTGGCTCCTCCTGGTCTTGCTGCTGCCTTCATATGTGACCTCCGGCATGTCACTTCCTCTCTTGGGGCTTTGGGTCCCTCAGTTATCCAGTGTCTGGATGAGTGATCTGGGCTCTAAGTCCACTTGCAGTTCTGGTCTCCAGAGGAGTCCAGCTCTCTGTCTCCAGAGGACTTTCATCTTGAGGCAGCTCAGAAAGCAGTCACGTTCTGCAAATAATGGCACCTGCAGAAACTCTTGGTGTTTTGTGTTTCTGGTCTTGATGTGGGATCAGAAGAAGTTTAGATGGGAAAAAGGGCAATAGATTCTTATGAACACAACCCTATTATTCATCCATGTGAAAAAAGATATTTATTGAGAGCATCCATGTGCCAGAAGCTAGAGATACAGCAGTGAACCACCTGCTCTCATAGAACTTATATTCTAGTTGGAGAAATAAATAATAAACAAGATAGATAAGTAAAATTTAAAATATGCTTTTTCTCTAAAAAGAAAAAAGCAAGGAAAGTCCATATGAAATGTTGAGAGTGATGTTTAGCACCTGAAAAAGCATCTTCAAATTCCTTGGTATTTTTTGGCCTAAAAAGTAGTGATATAAAGTTGATGAACATGGTACAAAAAACAATTGTCTGCTCAATAAGTGTCCAAAACACACACACACACACACACACACACACACACACTCTCACTACACTGTGAACAGAAGCTGACAAGGAGACCAGGAGCTGTAAAAAGGGTAAATACTTTCTGCAGATTTAGAAGCGGTGATCATAAGGAAATAGTTAATTTCTGCAGAGCCTCTGCTATTAGTAACGTTGGTTAATTCTAGTGTGAATCTGTGTGTGTGTGCCCATACGTGTGTGTGTGCATATATGTGCATTGGCTGCTTTCACCGCAGAAGCTATCCACAAACTATGCGGGAAGATGTAATTGTATTCACAGCAGCAAAATTAGCAGTGTTATTAACAACTTTCATTTTCTGTCTTGATTGAAGTCTGAGCTGCTTCGAGAACGTTTAAATGTGAATGGGGTGCGGCTGATCAATGTAGCCAGAGCAGCATATTTAAAAGATCATTCACAGTAATCATCTCCAGCAATTTGATATAACATACAGCCATGGAAACCTGTGCCGTTGTTTTCTGAGATGTCTTCTTCAGAGCCTGTGCAGCTCTTCCTGGGCTGTCATCCACGCAAACGAGGGCACAGCGGTGCTCTGACAAGGATGCGGAAAGGAAGAGCGGGGCTTTCTGCAAGGAGAGTGAGGATTCGTGTGGAGACTTTTTTGGGGAAAAAAGTTTGGTCAATTTGAACCACCTCTAAAAAAACTGAATTCTAGGGTATACCCAGCAGCAAATTAAAAATTGCAATCATTATTTTATTCCACCTCAGAGTTGGATAGTTATCTGTGAATTGATTGGGGTGTTGCTTTGCTGAATCGTAGAGTACGTTTCTCTCCTGAAGATCAAAAAGGTGAAGTGAGATTAAATTTTAAAATAATGATGTATTGCTGGCAACTTTCTTTTTTTATTGGGCACTGCATTGACTATAGTCTTATTCAGTTTGTGTATGGATTTCTTTTTAGATTGGCAATTTATTTCATAATATTCAGGTAAATCTGGTAAGGTCCCTGGTGTGACTTACACTGAAACCTTGTCAGTTGCCTGCCTCACTAAGATTCCATGTAGCTTTTCTCACAATTCTCTTTCCAGGATGATCAAGATGTACGCAAAAGGGTGAGTGCCGCCCAGCCCAGTAACTAAAGCATGCGACTTCCACGCTCGCGGCAAGTGACACTTAGTACTAAAATCAACTTCCTTTTCTCCTATAGTTTTTATTTCACTACTCCAGAACTCAGGAGCCGACACATCCAGTTAAAACTGGGGTCAGTATTTTATCGTAATCATCTTTCTGTAAAGTCACTCCCCTCCGCATGCCTTTTATCCCTTCCTGATTAATATGTGCAGATAGCAGAACAGCAGGGCCTCCAGACACTGGCTAATGGCTTCGTCAGTGCTCATTCCCGGGCTGCAGGGTGGGGGTGCTGGGAGGCTGACAGACCTGAAAAGTTAGAGAATAAATTATAGAAAAAAAATAAGAAATAACTTTTTGGAGCCGGCCCTGTGGCTGAGTGGTTAAGTTCATGCACTCCGCTTCAGTGGCCCAGGGTTCCATGTGTTCAGATCCTGGGTGTGGACATGGCACCACTCAACAAGCCATGCTGAGGCGGCGTCCCACATAGCACAACCAGAATGACCTACGACTAGATTATACAACTATGTACTGGGGGTGGGGGTTGGGGGAGAAGAAAAATAAAAGCAGGGAAGATTGGCAACAGGTGTTAGATCAGGGCCAATCTTTTAAAAAAAAAAAAAAAGCCAGAATGCTGAGGCTAACTGAGCTCATCTTAAAAAATAAATAAGAAATAACTTTTTATTATGCACTTAAAGAGATGTACAAGAAGAACCTGGTAAATAGTGAGCTCTGTTTATGTTGTTCCATGTCACCTTCCGTTTTTCAAATTTTGGAAAGTGTCAAGCAGCATTTCCTCCATAGTGGTCAGGGGTGTGCACCTTCCGTAACTGCCATGCTGTGGACGTGCGATGGGAATGAGAGGCATCGCCTCTAACTTTCTTATTATAAACTTGAGTCACCCTTGGGAGCAGGTCGTATAAGACACTTTCCGCAGGGTATGATTTGAGGAATATTGGGAAGGTCATGGAATATGATTTTTAATTCAGGTGCCCAGTCCCAGCAACTGAAATTCTTCCATTAGAAAGTCACTTATTTATGCAATCAAGGCTTTCCAATCTTCAGGAAGATCCTTAAAAGAACATAGACTCAGCAAAATAGTTTTTCCTTAAGAGGCAAAGACTCATCAGTGGTATAGGTCTAGGAATGGGGATCAGGTAAGGACGAGGATATTGTCAAGAAGGGCCATGGGCGCTGCAAAGGGAGCAAGGACAATGGAAGGGGAAAGCTAAGCTCTGTCTGTGACACAAATTACCCTTTACTCTGAGTCAGAGTACTCAGGGAGGAGTCAGAAAGACTAGATAAGATACAGGTGTGTACGTCTGTGTGCGTGCGGGCAATCACAGACAAGAACAGGGAAATGAAATGCACCAGGGAGAAGCTTATGGATGCTGCCCTTCCACCTCACCCGTCAGGTGAGGAGAGCACACCTGCGAGAAAGGATCTGCCTGGAGATGCTTCTTTGGGACAATGCACTCCACACCAGAAGGATGGCATGCTTGGGGTTCATCCAGATAAAAGTCTGATTTACTCTAAGGGAATATTTTTAAGTGTTGTGTTGGAATTGAAACCTGCTATCAAGCAAGCGATTCTTTATTGAAAACATAAAACTTCAAGCTTAGGCTCAGAAATGGATTTTGCTCTGAAAATTAAACCCATTTGTAAGGGAGTGAGTGGAGAGGACTGTGCATAGCCCTGGGCTGTGTCCCAGTGCTGTGTCTGACCTCATGGCGCCTCTCTGTTGCAGTTTCCTCCCGTGCACCCTTTAATGCGTCTGGCTGCAAAGCTCGCCGATAGAAGGATGAAAAGATTCCTGCAGCGCGTATGTGCTTTTTTCTTCCACCATATTTTTGTGCCACTAAAAGCTCATGTAACCATGGTAAATGCGTGTCATTGCCTTGGGGCTCGCTTGCATTCTCTCCTTGACTCTAAGTCTCCGCCTTGGGAGGGAGCTCTGGCCCTTTGACCTCGCACAAGTCCTTTAACCTTCCCGCGCCTCAATCTCTCCACTGTAACCCCGCATGGTGGCTGCAGGGCTGAGGGAGGGCCTGTGGCTCAAGGTAGTGACATCCTCTCTTTTGCTCTCTTCAGCTACATGTTTCATTTTGGTTTTTGTGTTGTTTTTTGACTTTCCCTGGCCCTTCCTCTGCCTCTTGACATGAACATTTGCCTTGGTGATATTCTCTGCTTCCCATTGCCCCATCTGACCTTTTGTCTATATCTCAGAGCTTTGTTGCTTTATAAATTTTTTTTTAAGTTTATAAATTACTAGTTTCAGTAATAGCTGAATCTGTTAAAATGTCAATCAAAGTTTTGTTGCATGGTAGCAGAAAAAGAAATTTTTTTGGACACTGAGCCAAAGTAGGATGACCATCTCATCCCAGTTTGCCCAGGATTTTCCTAGTTTTTGCTCTGAAAATGCCAAGACCACCAGGAAACTGCTCAGTTCCTGGACAATCTCTTGGTCATCGTAAGCATGGGCAGTAGTATGTCTGATCCATTGCTCCCCGCAGCCTTCCAGGTTGAGTTTGACTCCATTGTTAGGCCAGACCCACAGGCAAAGACAATCTGAAGAAGCTGAAATGGTGTATGCTGGAACACTTGCCAAAACCGGGGAATAATTTCAAGTTGAGGGCGTTGGGAAGAGTGAGCAAACTTAACATTGTCCTGGACACAAATGGTATCTCAATCAAGAAAACACGCTAGCCTGCCCAGGCAGGAAATTATTACTGGCTACATGGTTAGCCCTTCCCATGAGCTGCTCTTTTGCACTTAACTTCTGGCTACCTTGGAACAGAACCAGGGAGGTGCAGGATCACACAGAACAACTGTGAGCCTTGGGGACATGGTTCCCGTTATATTAACCTGTGCCTCATTCCCTCCCAGGACTCGGGGGCTGCGGCAGTGGACTTTACCAGGAAGGTATGTAAACCCCGTGGAGAACACAACCCCCAAAGAAAGATAGATTCGAGAAGGACAGGGAAGGGCATGCAGCTGGGCCGCCTTGCAGCCCCTTTAGATCACTTCTGGAAAGAACTGTCTCATGATATGCCCCTGAGATCTTCTCTGAGGCTGAGCATTTATTTAATTTGGGTTTCCCTGGGCTTATCCTGAGGCAGAAAGGAATCATGGGGCACGGCCTCTGGCTGTTTAAATTCATCTCCAGTCTCACAAATGAGCCGCCTGGGGCCATCTGCTCCTGAGGATTTGCTTTCTCTGGCTCGGGGGTGCACAGGCCAGTTGTACAAACTTGGGGAGACATACTGCAAGTGGCATGAAGCCCGTATACCAGTGCATCTCCAGGTGGACTGTGCACCGTAAACACCCGGGGACCTTGTGAAAATTCAGATGGTTGGGCCCCAGCTGGAGATTCAGTAGGGGCCTGAGAATTTGCGTCTCTAACAAGTTCCCAGGTGGTGTTGATGCTTTTGGTGTGGGGACCTCATTGTGAAAACTGCTGCCATAGGCATCTCTTAACGATATTTGGCACAACATTTGGCACAACGTGGTTGCAGGATGGTTTGTGTTTTTATGTTTCAGGATCACGCTGCCACCTTGGGACGAGCATTCTTCCTTTTCAGGGTATAACACATTTCCTCTTTTCTGTTTTTAACCCCGATTCCCCCCTGCCACCCAATTATGGATTTCCTGTAGAATGAGCACAGCCAGTGCCCTATTGCGAACTGGTGAATAATTGTGAGGACTCTCTCACCCTTTGCTTAGGGGATGACTCTCAAAGTCTCCTCCTAGAAGCTTGATGCTTGTAAAGGAAAGGGCATCCAGAAGGACAAGGGCTGAGAGAACTAGGGCTCTGGGAGCCCAGGGGTGGGGGGCGGGAGTTCTGCTGATGGACAGACATGGGGACCAATCAGAGTTGTAGTCCGTGTTCCTGAGCATAAAGGTCCAGGATACTTGGCCCCAAAACACACTGGAAATAGCAGTGTAGGTACCATCCTCTGCTCTTTCCCAGAGGACTTGGAGCCTCTTGCAAAGGTCACGGAGTCAGAGAGCTAAAAGTTTGTGATCTGCCACTCACTAGCTAAGCTTCACCTGCTAGGTCCTCAGCGTCTGCCTTGGAAAGATGTGTAAATCAGACTACTGGACTCGTGCCCCTCAGACTGCCTTCTGTGGGTCCTTGGTGCTGAGAGATGCTCTATAGAGATCAAACAAGATTGGAAAACACTGCACCCAACGTTCTCGAAGGTTTACAGGGCACAGCAGCAGGTCTTGCAGGAAACAACCTGTTTAACACGACTTAATCATATGTTTCTCAAACTTTCACCACAGAACTGCTTCCCACCCCACCACGTGCACCATTTTAATTTGCATGACCGTGATTAGTTGTTCTTCGGAAAGTGCTTTGAGAAACAGTGGGTGTCCATGATGTCTTTGGGTGAGAAGTCCTGTGACAAATGGTTTGAAGATCATCCTGCCACCTAAACAGAGGCTAAGGGGTGGAGCGGTGGGGTGGGGGCAGTGATGGGGCATAGGAACAGCAAGGGTCCTGGAGCCCTGCCACAGGGGACCAACAGACTAGAATGGGGCTGGAACTTGACAGGAGAGCCCCAAGGAGGCTGCTGACATCCCAGTTAGGAGAACAAGGCCTTACGGCCCAGGAGAGAAAGAATCTGAAGCCAAGAAATAAGTTCCAGGTAGTTTTGTCTCAGTATCTGTAAGCTGCTCCTTTTTTTTTCAGGCAAGGAATGGAAGAAGCATTGAAGATAATGCCGGGTAGGATAGTCCAAGGTCAGGCTCATTGCGGCTCTTCTCCTCCAAGCAGTGTCATGTGTCCGACTAGGGGGCAGGAGAGGCAGCCAGAGAGGTGATAGTCCAAAGAAACGGAGGCCATGTGGAATCTCTGAGGACCCCCTGCCCCTTCTTTTCCTGTTCTCAGCACCACAGGGACCCTCCCTGCAGCCTGGCAGAAGCAGGCTATCCAGGCAAACAACACAGCCTTTGCTTCTGTGCCGGCTGTTTGCAGGTGTGCTGTCTCAGCAGCTGAGGGGATGAGAGCTCCATGCAGCCCAGCTGGTCCCCAGGACTTCTCACCTGACCCTTCTGAGGAGGGAAGAAAACGCCCCTGCATGCTTGGGGTGGGGAGCTCCCAACAGTGGCAACATTTCAGAGTGTGGCCAGGCAAGCCTAGCCCCTCCATTCAATGGTGCTCTGAGACCCAGAGTTTGAATCTGGGGAGATTCCTTGGCCTTCGGGCCTGTGGAAGCAGAAGTCCATGCACCGGGGCAGCTCCGGGCCTCCTCTGTCTCCCGTGATGACCAGGCCCAGGGACAGGAGGCTGCTGTCCTGCATCACAGCCCCCCTCCTGGAGCCGGACCCTGACCTGCTGGCAGAGCCCAGGGCCCAGCCAGGCCAAGGTGCCTGAGAAAGCGGTCCAGATGCTGGGAAACAGAGCCACTCAGGAGAAAACAAGGCGAAGAGGCTCCCGGAGGCCACAGCACTCACGCAGACCTAATGGCCTAATTAGTTACAGCGAAGACAAATAAGTACCCATTACGGGCATTTATGACACGTCAAATTGAGGCATAATTTTAAAATATGTTATATAATAACATGCCCATGGGCCTCGTCTCGATTCTGAGAACAATTTGATCTGAGCTGTACATTTGTCTTCTCTTTTTCAGAATTCAGTGGCAAAGGAAAGCTGGATCAGATGAGGCAACGGAGCAATTATTTTGAACAAATGTCAAATTTTTCTGTGAACAATACTTAAAGATGATTCTCTCACTCTGTGCTCACTAGAATATCAGTTGTATAAAAAATAAAGCAGCGTTGACACAACATTTTCATTTCTTAATGGAAGTCTTGGGGGAGGGATCAGGGATATTTTTAAATAATGGGATATGTATTTTTCACACACGCTGGTTTGGGGTATTGTTTTAGCGTGCCCCAATGATCTTAGTATGGAGAATTGAGAGCGTGGGCTAGGGATAGACTGGCTGGCTTCAAACGCTGACTCCTCCACTTTTTAGCTGGGGGACCTTGGCCTGGTCACTTCCCGTCTCTGTGCCTCAGTCTCCTCCACAGTAAAATGGGGTTGGTAACAACAGGACCTTCACGTAATTTTTGCGCTGACTGAGTAGATGACTATGGAGAGGGCTTACTGTGGTGGTACAGCGAGCGCTCAATGAGAGTTGGCTCTAATTAGACTTCAAAGAGGATTTCCATCACACAAACAGCACCAAAGGGACTTGCCCTAAGGAGAGCTGCTTCCATATTGCGACCAGGGCCTTGAGGTCCAGCATTAACACATAACAACTCCAGACTTCTCCAGAAGCATGAGGCTCAGCCCTTTCCCTTCTCAGGCTCCTCCTCTGTAAAGAGTATCTGATTCGCAGGCCTCCCAAGATCACCCAAAGGAGCAGACGGTGACGCAGAAGACAGGCAGCAATGTGGGGAGGGAGTCTATGACACACGCGATGACCCTAAGCTGCACTGGACCTTCCTTCTTTTAAGATTCTCAAGCTTTGCATCAAATTCCAGTCATCCTTTTAAGATGTAATTTAGACATCACACTTTAGGATTAGTTTTTATTTTAGCGTTTATAAGCTTTTGCAATGTCTCAAGTCTATTTTCTCAAATAGAGTATTTTACGACGGTAGATCTTGCCACGCAGAGATGAGCTGAGCAAACCTAACTCCACGTGACGTGTTGCTGAGTGCAGGGTGCTGTTGCAGGGGTCAAGGGCTGGCCTGAGGCCGTGCAGTAGGTAGGGAGCGGGGCGGGTTTGGCCTCCAGGTGCTTCCATGCCCTGCCAACACAGGCAGCGCCGACTCAGCGCCACACATCCCAGAGAAGGTGGGGGGAGCACAGCATTAGTATGAGACGCTGCCAAGGCAAGTCTTCAAGGCAAGTCTCAAGATTTTGCGGTGACCAAGGTTGGCTGTTTCTACCCCAAATCATGCCCAGAATCCTCTTTGCTAAGCCAGTGATGATAAATTCCGCCCCAGTGGAGGATCATACCCTTGGCACCGGGCCTGCCTGGCAGATGATGGTTAAGGGGGTGAGGGGTGGGCGGAGAGGACCACTGCTTCTAAGGAATGCTATTTGAGCTAAAAACTCTTCCTTTGCTAAGCCAGACTCCGATGATGGGGAGGTGGAGATAGACTTTGCAATCTCAGACATCACCTCACCCCCTTTCCCCACAGCAGTGCCCAGTGATGCACAATAAATCCAGAGAAGAAACTGGACTATAATTCACAGCTTCTGCCCTGTGAGAAGGCATCCTCCCTGCATGTAGTGCTGGGCTGTTTTTAGCCTGGTTTCCCATGAAAAGGAGCCTCTGAGGTCACACTACCTGGGTGTCCCTTCACATAAGTTTGAGTCTTAGGCCAAATATCAACCACTGGATGGGGAAGGCCCCGCCTTCTTAGCACTGATGGTCACTTTATGGGGAGAGGCCACAGCTCAACCCAATGCACAGGGTCACTGACAGCCTCAACGAGATCAGGGACATGTCCAGCCAGCACAGAATTGTGAAAGGGACCCTTAGAACCCTGGAGTGGGCATGGGCCTCATTGATCATTCAGCCCCACCTTCTCATGGGCTGCTGAGGAAAGCAGCCCAGAAAGGCCAAGTGACTTGGCCAAGGCCACACAGCTACTGGCAGCATGTCCAGGATGGAGCTCAGGCTTTTCAGTTAAAAGCCTAATTGCTTTCTTCCCTCTGATGTTACTCTCCTGCATTAGTTTTCTAGGGCTACCATAAAAAATTTTCCCAAGCTTAGTGACTTCAAACAACAGAGATTTATTCTCTTACATTTCTGGAGGCCAACAGTCCCACACAATGGTATCACTATGGCCATGCTCTTTCTGAAGTCTTTAGTGAGAATCCTTCCCTGCCTCTTCTAGACTCTGGTGGCTCTAGGTGTCCCTCTTGGCTTCTGACAGCATCACTCCAATGTTTTCCTCCATCTTCACAGGCCTAGTTCCCTACGTCTCTGTCTCTCCTCCTTTTCTCTTCTCTTACAAAGATACATGTCTCCGGATTTAAGGTCCATTCTAATCTAGGATGATATCTTAATCTAGGATGATTAAGGAGGAAAAACTTAATTATCTCTGCAAAGACCCTTTTCCCAAACGAGGTCACATTCACAGATTCCAAGGTTAGGACATGGACACATCTTTTGGGGGCCACATTCAAACCATGGCCTGTCATTGCTCTCCGGAGCTCAGAGCCCTCTTGCTGACCCTGTTCCAGATGCCTCCCTGCAAGCCCTCACATCCTGGCTTCCCCTCTACCTTTTCAAATAGGTCTGCATGAATCTCACTGTACAAACAATCATTCATTGACTCATTTGACTCTTGAATGCCTGCCATCTGCCAAGCCCTATTGGGATAATAGAGCTACATAAGACATATTGGCTCTTAACCAGGCCAATCTTGAAGAAAGTGCAAGAGTTTTTCATGGGTGAGTTGTGTTCTTTCTCTCCATTTATCCTCAGAATCATGGACTCTTAGAGTGAGGAGAAACCTTCAAGGGCTTTGCAAGTCCAAACCCATGGCCAGTGCCGCTGGGGCTCACCAGTTCTGATGGGAGGTTATCCATACTCTATTCAAACACTTCTGGGGCATGAAGCTCACTGCTTCATGAGGCGTCCACTTTGTTCTTGGACAACTAAAAGCAACGGACTGTTCCCAGAAACTGATATGACCTATAGTATCTACTTTTCTTTTTTTTTGGTTTGTGTTTTTTTTGTTGTTGTTGAGGAAGATTAGCCCTCAGCTAACTACTGCCAGTCCTCCTCTTTTTGCTGAGGAAGCCTGACTCTGAGCTAACATCCGTGCCCATCTTCCTCTACTCTATATGTGGGACGCCTACCACAGTATCTACTTTTCTTATTTCCCCAAGACCCCCTCTCGCTCCAGTACTAGGATTGGCCTAGAACCAGCCTTAACACGAGTTTTCAGATTCAGCTCATTTGGAGGCAGTTTCCACCCCCTTCAAATCTCCCCTTAGACTCAGGATCCCTTTTGAGAACAGCTCAAACAGAATGAACAGAAAAATATTCATATGAATGCAGCTAACACACTGCTTTTCGGGAACTGTGTGGCACAGTGAACAAGAACAGGCCTTTTGTTCCCATCCCTGCTCTGTGGCTCACTCTGTATGTGATGCGACCTTAGGCCAGAGGCTCACAGCAGAGGGAGTAAGACCACAGGACCTGGAGTCAGAATGATGAGGTCTGAACCCCGGCCGTGAGACCTTGATCAAGTTGTTTACCTTCCTTTCCAGTCTGCCCCTCACTCAACTTCTCCATCTTTGAAACAGTGCTAACAATAATACCCAATCCACAGGCTTGTTGTGAGGGTTACTAACAGTTAACATGCAGTGTTTGCTGTGTGTCATCTAAATGAGATACTGCACACAAACGGCTTTGAGTAGTGACTGGCTCATTGATAAATGTTAGCTATATATAATAATTAATGTCTAGAGCAGCTTTGTCCAATACAACTTCCTGTGATACTAGAAATATTCTCTAACTGCACTGTCCAATATTGTAGCACTAGACACATACGGCTATTAAGCCCTTGAAATGTAGCTTGTATGACTGGAGAATGGAATTTTTAAGTTTTTAAATTAAAAAAAAATAAACTTTTTGTTTTAGAACAGGTTTAGACTTACAGAAAAATCGTGAAGATAGTACAGCGAGTTATAATATACCCCATACGCAGTTTCCCTTATAATTAACATCCTACACTAGTATGATAGATTTGTCATCATTAATGAATATTGATAGATTATTACTAAATAAAGTCCATAATTTATTCTTACTTCTTTGCATTTTACCTAATGTCCTTTTTCTGGTCCAGGATCCCATCCAGGACACCACATTACATTTTTTCATCATATCTCCTTCAGATTCTCTTGGTTGTGACAGTCTCTCAGACCCTTGTCTTTGATGACCTTGAAGTTTTGAGGAGGACTGGTCAGTTATTTTGTAGGATGACCCTCTCCTGGGTTTTTTCTTATGTTTTTCTTGTGTTAGACCAGGGTTATTGGTTTCAGGAGGAAGACCACAGAGGTGAAGTGCCATTCTGATGACATCATATCAAGGGCGTGTACTATCCATGTGACATGCCACTGTTTTTGGCCCTGATCACCTCACTGAAGTCATTTGTCAGGTGTCTCGACTGTGAAGTGACCTTTTATCCCCCTTTCCATCCTGTACTCTTTGGAAGGAAGTCGCTGGGTAACCCATACTTCAGGAGTTATACGTTCCACCTCCTTGTGGGTGCAGTACCTACACAAATTATCTGGGCTTTTGCACAGGAGATTTCTCTATTTTCCCTCATCTATTTGTCTATTCACTCATGTATTTATGTCAGTGTGGACTTATGGATTTATTTTATACCTTGGGTTATAATCCAATGCTATGTTATTTATTTTGTTGCTCAAAATATTCCAACTTTGGCCATTGGAAGCTCCTTCACTTGGTTCCTGTGTCCCTTTGACATACCTCCATCATTGTGGGTTTGATTTTTTTTTTTTTTTAGCACTTCCTTGCTTTCTGACACTACAGGATACTCCAGACTCATCTTGTATATTTCCTGCCTCAGTGCTAGAACCAGGAGTTTCTCCAAGGAACCCTGGCTTCTTTTGTTGGAGGATGGTATTAGAACCCAAGATCTGGGGGCTAGGTGTGCTCATTGCTACTGGGTGTCATTGCTTCTAGGTTCTCTCAGTTGATAATTTTATTTAACTTTAATTCGTTTAAACTTAGATAGCCACATATGGCTAGTAGCTAACCGTGTTGGATAGCAAA